ATCTATCTATCTATCTATCTATCTATCTATCTATCTATCTATCTATCTATCTATCTATTTATCTATCTATCTATCTATCTATCTCTATCTATCTATCTATCTATCTATCTATCTATCTATCTATCTATCTATCTATCTATCTATCTATCTATCTATCTATCTATCTATCTATCTATCTGTCTATCTATCTATCTATCTATCTATCTATCTATCTATCTATCTATCTATCTATCTATCTATCTATCTATCTATCTATCTATCTATCTATCTATCTACATATCAAGTCCTTAAATATACATGACTATACACCAATCTATAGACTTCACTACATTGTAAACAATAGTGTATAATATACACTATTGTTTTAGGTGACGATATGTACTATAGTTTGGCCTATATATTAGACTATAGACTAAAATATTATCCTGGCTAAAGTCTAGACTATAATCTATACTATAGACCATAACACAAACTATATACTGCACTATAAAATAGTCCTGACATTAAACTGACATTATTCCTGACATTAGACTAGATTATACTCAGGACTATAGAATAGACTGTTGACTAGATTATAGTCCAAACTATAGACTAGACAATAGCCCATACTATAGACTAGACTATCCTCAATTGTGCAATTTCCCCTTTAATTGTAATTACATTTCATAAGTGTTGTTTGCGCATTATCTTTTTGGCCTTAAACTTGTCATATTTCTAAAAATAACAACTAAAACGTGTTTGTGTGCCCTAACTGAAATTGCACATTTTCCAGGTTCATATTTGCATAATAAAAACAATTAGAACAAAACAAACTTTTATAAACTAAAACAGATTAAGTTATGGTCACATGGTCCAAACATTGTTTAAGTACCTATGTAACTATTGACCGATTTTTGTTGGAATACCTATGTAGGTACTCCTCTCACATGGTCCAAACATTGTTTAAGTATGTAACTATTGACCGATTTTTGTAGAATACCTATGTAGGTACTCCTCAGACTGTAAACTGTGTTATTTCTAAAATTTCACATGCCTTGAGAAGAGGTGTTTTGGAGTTTTTAGACCTATGTATATGGGTCGGGGACAGATGCCCTTTAAGTAAAAGACCTCAAGTAGATAAAATATTAAGTACCTACCTAGTTCATATTTATACTTTTTCAAATAAAAATATCTTAAATCGTGTCTACACGTTAACAGCTTCTTATTTAAAAGTGTTTGGAAAAATACCCCTAAATTAATGAAAAAAAGTTCAGTGAACTTGAAAATCTTTAGGGAGCTAAAGATTTTATTACTATAGCTATAACCTTCAATAAAAATATATATTTTTTTCCGAATTAAAACGACCGTTACAAAAGACAAAGCCATGCATTTACGTAAATAGAGACGCATTTGATAAATACATATATACATGCATACAAATATACGTATGTATATAAATATATATATATATGTACGTATCTACAACAATTTATAGCATTTGTTGTAAATGGAAAACAAAGAAAAATAATCAGGTCATGGCAAGGGGTCTACCTCAATTCTATTTTATATATAGAGAAAAGGAGGGTTATTTTCAAAGTAAATAAAGAAAAACTCCCATACATGTTAAATACGTGTTTATCTACATAAAATATTATTTACACGTAAGTTGTATATACATACATATATACATATATATACATATACAATTTTACATCTCCCCTGAGATGGGAAATAACTGTGAATCATTTGCTCTCTTTAACTCTCCTTAATTTCTCTCAAACCAGCTGTATTATTTACTTTGAAGAAAAAAATAAAAAAAAAAAACTATGAAAAACAAGACGCAATTTAGAAAAACTTTCCAAATTTTAAAAAAATTATTTTACTATAAAAAATTATTTATTCCTTTGAAACCCTAATTAATTATAGTAACTAAATAAAATATCAATTTACTTGTTTCATTTAGATCAATAAAAAATACAAAATTCTAGTAAAATTTTTAATTTGTCATATTAAAATTAAATCAATTTCTATAAATTTTATATTTAACAATATTAAACTATTATTTGATAACAAATCCATAAAAGTTTATTAATTTAAAACGTAATTGTTGTAAAATTAGCATTAACATTACAAAGAACAAAAGCAAGTCCAAAGGTAATAAAGAAAAAAAGTAATGACAATTGTCTATAACAAATTTCTTATTTTGTTTATTACAATAAAAGCTTTGTTTTCCCATTCTTGTGTAATTTCTTAAATATTTTATATCATCAATATTATTATTGTTATGGAACAGCGTAGAATATTCCATGTTTGTTTATTATTAATTTTGTTAAAAACATTTTAATAATAGTATATAAATAAGTAATGGCTTTTTGAAGAAAACAGCTGTTTTATATAATTTAAAAGTATATAACAAAAACACAATTCCCCTCATAATCCAATTGCATTTATTTCCCATGAGAGTAGATAAATTAAAGTGCTCTTTTTGTTTTAAATTAAATTCTCAGTTTAAGTGTTGGTAAATGTTCTGCTAAATAGTGAAAATATAACAATGATGTGTATTTGGGGGAAGTACGCTTTTAAAAATGTTACTTTATAAATAGTTTTTATGGAAAATACATATGTACTAAAATTAATAAAAAATTGAATTTTTTTCATAAAGAATCTTTTAATTTCAAAATGGTTTTGAAAAATTACAAAATAATAAAATTATATAATAATATATAACTGGAATGAATTTTGTAAAGGCCCAAATAGACTACAGAAGCGGCTTATCAAACATACTTTTTTCATTCGCACACACACTATACAAACATTGCTCGTACAAACACCGATTTTTTTCACGTTTTTGTGGACTTGCAAAGATACAGATGTCAATTTTTCATAGAAATGTAAATTTTTTGAAAAATTTGTTATTAATGAATATAAACCATACAAATGGTTTGACAAAAATTCAATATGTTTGTGTAAAAATCTAAATTTTTTGTACAAACAGCAACCATTTGCACAAACTCGAAACACCCTCATACACTACACAACAGGCTTGCACAAATGTAAAATATTGGTATGTTTGTTAAGCCGCTTGTGTAGTCTATTTGGGCCTTAATAAATAGTATGAAGCGAACATGACTTTTTTTCCCAAACCATTTTTATTCAGAATATTAAAAGTTCATAAAATGTATAAATAAATAAAAATAGAAATCTTGAAAAACAAAATCTGAAATTAAAAAAAATCAGCAAACATAGTAAAACATCCGTTCTTAATAAAATCCTGCAAATTACGCGAACATTTCATCCTTTTCAATCTAAAAATCATAAAGAAATAAAAAGTGTTCCAAAGAAAATTTTAAAAATTGCACAGAAAAAAATTATTCATATCTGGAATGAATTTTCAAATAAATTAAATGAATCGAACATGACATTTTTTCCCAAACCATCATTCAGAATATTGAAAGTTCATAAAATGTATGAATTTGTACATTGTTTTGTTTTTTTTTTTTTTTTGCTCATTTTCTTTGATTTTTATAAAAAAATGCAATAAATTCCGTTACCTATTAATATCTTCCATTTTTTAGAAAATAATCACATATTAGCGAATTTTTATGATAAATAAATAAAAATGCTGGAAAACTAAATATGAAATAAAAAACATCAGCGTATAGCTAAACATCCATTCTTCAGAAAATGTTGCATGTTACGCGCATAAAAATAAAAAAATTTTCTAAAGAATATTTCAAACATTTTTTAACAAATAGAAAAATATAAAGAAAATTTTTAATATTTTAAGTCAAGGCTTCTAGATTATGTTTAAAAATATAAAAATGAAAAAATTCATACAATTTAGGAACTTATTCGTAAATATTATTAACTTTAGTCAATGAAAGCAGTTCATAATATTTATGCTGAAACTTTTTTCTGGATTAACATAATCTATGTAAGTAGAAAAACTAATTCTTTCTCCCATATTTAAATTATGAATTTTTTTTGGATTTAAAAAGTACTTACCAATATTTTTTTTATTAATATACCATTATTTACATATAGGCAATATAGAATTGACTTTAGTCTATATAGTATAGTCTATTGTCTTTTTTCATATCCGTATTCAGAAATAAGAATGCAAAACATTATATTAAATTTTAAAAATAGTTTTCTTTTCTCCTATCTGAATTTGGGCATTAGTTAGGTTTAGGTAAGAAGGGCAGCCATTCAATCAAGGATGAGTGGCTCACATGGGTCCACCTAATTGCGGTCCCTTTGTGTTACCCTAGTGGTCGTAGGAGTACACTTGATTATTACTCACTACTTCCAGATTTAAACCAAGCGGTTTGATTCACAAAGTTCAGGATATTCTTCAGACATATCCCAGATAGCTCATCGGGCATTAGTTTATATCTTGTAAATCTCTTTAAATAACCTTTAAAATTAAGGTTTTCGAATAGGATTACTTCCCCTGTTTTTCATGTAACCTTATTAATGGTATATTTATTAAATAACGTTGTATGTAATATTTACAAGATATAATTATATTTAATTTATTGTAAAATTTAATATTTACCCTTTAAATGGCACAAAATTAGGAAAATTTTACTGTTTTTAACTAAACAAAGGTTTTTCATTTTCAATTATTCTTCACACAAATCCAAAAACATTTTTCAACACTGTGGGTATTTTTTCCAAACGCTTAACAACACTGTGGCAACTAAAAATCGCTCTCATTAGACAAAGACAAGAAATTGTAATTTAACTAAATGACAACTAATAACTATTGTTTAAATTAAATTTACTTACAAAAATTCATATAATTTAAAGAATTTTTTTAATAAATAACTAAAGAATATATTAAATATTAGGAAAGATAAGTTTTTATGATGAAATTTAAAGTAGTTTTAGGAAAAGTAGTGAAAAAACAAATTTTCCTAAAGAGAGAAGGCAATATTTTATGTACAACTTTTTTCCAATAGTTATATACAATTTTTACCAATTTCCCCTTTTTTGAGGCAACGATATAAAAGCCAGTGCAGAGAATAAACAGAATTCAGTTGATAACAGACAATTGTGAACAGCGTACTTTACAAATAAAAGAAAAAACAGTGAATTTTTGAGAAAAAGTGATTAATTTTTTTGTGATATAAAAAAAGTAGACTTTGGAAAATAATTTAAAAAGAAAATAAGTGACGTCATATAAATAATAGTTTTTCTATCTGTTCCGAAACAGTGAAAGGTGAGAAATTTTAAAAGAAAATTAAAGAGTGAAGCAGTTTTTTTATAAAAGAGAAATTAGAAAAACAAGTTTGTTTTAATTGTGTAAATTAGAATTTTTTCTTTAAAATTTAATCTGATTTTTTAATAAATTGGTATAATTGTATAATTAAAAATTTTCTATGAAAAAAACCTTCAAGGAAAATTTATGTATACTTTATTGGAAAAAAAACAACCCCCATTTTGTTTTTGTATGTGTACCTTGGTTTGATTTCAAATTTCTGCAAATTCATCAAACGAAATGCAATATGGCGTCTTTGTTGTATTAAAAACATTTCCCCTCGTTTTTTAAAAGAGAGAGCGTAAATAAAAAGAGTAAATAAGTGACTACTCTCCTTTTGTTTTTCCGTTAGTAATAAAAACTCAATTTCACAATACTTGTTACTGAAACCGTCATCTTTGCTAAAAAAAAAAATATTTTTTTCAAAGAAATCAAACAAAATTAAAAACAAAATATAAAATAAAATATCAAGTAATCTTGGTCAATAACATCTACAATTTTTCTTTCTATTTCTTAATTTTCCGCAGAACACACACTTCAAAAACATGCAAATCTTCGTGAAGACTTTAACTGGCAAGACCATCACCCTTGAGGTCGAACCTTCGGATACGATTGAAAATGTCAAGGCTAAAATTCAAGATAAGGAGGGTATTCCCCCAGATCAACAACGTCTAATTTTTGCCGGTAAACAATTGGAAGACGGACGCACTTTGTCCGATTATAATATTCAAAAAGAGTCTACTCTCCACTTGGTTCTACGTTTGCGTGGTGGCATGCAAATCTTTGTTAAGACATTGACTGGCAAAACCATCACTTTGGAGGTTGAGCCTTCCGATACTATTGAAAATGTTAAAGCTAAAATTCAAGACAAGGAAGGAATCCCACCAGATCAACAACGTTTGATTTTTGCTGGCAAACAATTGGAAGACGGGCGCACATTGTCTGATTATAATATACAAAAAGAATCTACATTGCATTTGGTATTACGTTTGCGTGGTGGCATGCAAATTTTCGTTAAAACATTAACGGGTAAAACAATTACATTAGAGGTTGAACCTTCGGATACTATAGAAAATGTTAAAGCTAAAATCCAAGACAAAGAAGGTATTCCCCCAGATCAACAGCGTTTGATTTTCGCTGGTAAGCAGTTGGAAGATGGCCGCACTTTATCCGACTACAACATTCAAAAAGAATCCACCCTTCACTTGGTATTGCGTTTGCGTGGTGGTATGCAAATCTTCGTCAAAACTTTAACTGGCAAAACTATTACCTTGGAAGTCGAACCTTCCGACACTATTGAGAATGTTAAAGCCAAGATCCAAGATAAGGAAGGTATTCCCCCAGATCAGCAACGTTTGATCTTCGCCGGTAAGCAGTTGGAAGATGGACGTACATTGTCCGATTACAACATCCAGAAGGAATCTACCCTCCATTTAGTATTGCGTCTCCGCGGTGGTATGCAGATCTTTGTGAAAACCTTGACCGGCAAAACCATTACCTTAGAAGTCGAACCTTCCGACACTATTGAAAACGTCAAGGCTAAAATCCAAGATAAGGAAGGTATTCCCCCAGATCAGCAACGTTTGATTTTCGCCGGTAAACAGTTGGAAGATGGACGTACATTGTCCGATTACAACATCCAAAAGGAGTCCACTCTTCACTTGGTATTGCGTCTCCGTGGTGGTATGCAGATCTTCGTGAAAACTTTGACCGGCAAAACCATCACCTTGGAAGTCGAACCTTCCGACACCATCGAAAACGTCAAGGCTAAAATCCAAGATAAGGAAGGTATTCCCCCAGATCAGCAACGTTTAATCTTCGCCGGTAAACAATTGGAAGATGGTCGCACCCTTTCGGACTACAACATCCAAAAGGAATCTACTCTCCACTTAGTTTTGCGTTTGCGTGGTGGTATGCAGATCTTTGTGAAAACTTTGACCGGCAAAACCATCACCTTGGAAGTCGAACCTTCCGACACCATCGAAAACGTCAAGGCTAAAATCCAAGATAAGGAAGGTATTCCCCCAGATCAGCAACGTTTAATCTTCGCCGGTAAACAATTAGAAGATGGTCGCACCCTTTCGGACTACAACATCCAAAAGGAATCTACTCTCCACTTGGTTTTGCGTTTGCGTGGTGGTATGCAGATTTTTGTGAAAACTTTGACCGGTAAAACCATCACTTTGGAAGTTGAACCTTCCGATACCATTGAGAATGTGAAGGCCAAAATCCAGGATAAGGAAGGTATTCCTCCAGATCAACAACGTTTGATTTTCGCCGGTAAACAGTTGGAAGATGGACGTACATTGTCTGACTACAACATCCAGAAGGAATCTACCCTTCACTTAGTATTACGTCTCCGTGGTGGTATGCAGATCTTCGTGAAAACCTTGACCGGCAAAACCATCACTTTGGAGGTTGAACCTTCCGATACCATTGAGAATGTGAAGGCAAAAATCCAAGATAAGGAAGGTATTCCTCCAGACCAACAACGTCTGATCTTTGCTGGTAAACAATTGGAAGATGGCCGCACCCTATCGGACTACAACATCCAAAAGGAATCTACTCTCCACTTGGTTTTGCGTTTACGTGGTGGTATGCAGATTTTCGTTAAAACCTTGACCGGCAAAACTATCACCTTGGAAGTTGAACCTTCCGATACCATTGAGAACGTGAAGGCTAAAATCCAGGATAAGGAAGGTATTCCCCCAGATCAGCAACGTTTGATCTTCGCCGGCAAACAATTGGAAGATGGACGCACCCTTTCTGACTACAACATCCAGAAGGAATCCACCCTCCATTTAGTATTGCGTTTGCGTGGTGGTATGCAAATCTTCGTAAAGACCTTGACCGGTAAAACCATCACCTTGGAAGTCGAGCCTTCGGACACTATTGAAAACGTCAAGGCTAAGATCCAGGATAAGGAAGGTATTCCTCCAGATCAGCAACGTTTGATCTTCGCAGGCAAACAATTGGAAGATGGTCGCACTTTGTCTGACTACAACATCCAAAAGGAGTCCACCCTCCATTTAGTATTGCGTTTGCGTGGTGGTATGCAGATCTTCGTAAAAACTTTGACCGGTAAAACCATCACTTTGGAAGTTGAACCATCCGATACCATTGAGAACGTGAAGGCTAAAATCCAGGATAAGGAAGGTATTCCCCCAGATCAGCAACGTTTGATCTTCGCAGGCAAACAATTGGAAGATGGTCGCACTTTGTCTGACTACAACATCCAAAAGGAGTCCACCCTCCATTTGGTGCTACGTCTTCGTGGAGGCGCATACTAAATTTATTTATTTTTTTAAATTTAACAATATGAATTTCAAAATTTTTATAGTATTCCAAATGTATCTCGTTAATTTAAAATCTATTTTGTATTCAATTTCTTATTTTTTAAACTAGTTAGTTTTTTTATTGAATTGAATATTCCCGTTATGTTGAAAAAAATAAAATATAAACAAGATATGCAATAATTAAAAAAAAAGAATTTATAAATTTTCTGTGGTTTTATTATGATAATTTTTGGTATGGGGGATAAAAGATTAGCTCCAGGAAATTTGTAAGTAAATGTGGGAGGTGAACTTCTAGGGAAATTGATTTTGAAGCTAAAATCATTAGCTAAATAAGCACATCCCTTCCATATCCATCGAATTCTCAATTGGTCCCCGAGTTGCCTTGTTTGGGGGAATTTGGTGGGATAACTTTATATGGTCGTTCTAGAGAAATACATTACGGTTTATTAGAATAATAGTAATCCTAATATTATTACATCGAAAGCGAAATCTCAAAAGGATGTGGACATATGCTTATTCCTCCTGTCAAAGAATTCTATTCAGAAATTCTATTCAGCCAAAATGAAATCGATCGGAATAACACGCAGATAGATTGTTTGTTAGGTAGTTAGTTATTTAGTTAGTCAGTTCTTTAAGTTAGTCAGTTTGTTAGTTAGTTAGTCAGTTAGTTACTTATTCCTGTCTTCTGTAAATCGATTCGGTTTCAAAACCGAGAAACTTTTAAAACCGAATTTGGTGTTCTGCAAATCGAATTTTTATTTGAACGTAAAATTCAGAAAAACAATCATATTTTATGTGAAAAAGAGTTTAAAATGCTCATAGCATTTATATTAAGTTACAATTATATTAAAAAACCCAAAAAACAATTTTATAATTTATTTTAATAAAATTAAAATCGATTTACTTTCGACTAGATTTGTGTACTTGGTTTTAAAACGAGAAAAATTATGAGAATTCGTTTTTAAACGAAAAATTTACTCGGATTCGGTTTACAGAACAGACAGGATTAGTTACTTTTAGTTAGTTAATTTTGAAAACGTTCTATCAAATCCGTATAAAACGCTAACTATAGCAACACCAAATGAAATAAAACTACTAAACACAGCTCTATTATTTTCTATACGAAAGAAAAGAGCAAATATCTCAAAAGTTCTCTCTTTATAATCCAGCTGTTGGCAAATAAGGAGAACAAAAACGCCAACAACAACAATTCATCTGTATTTAATGAATACTTTTTTTCCACTGTGTTAACAAAAAAGAATTGTATTTTTTTCTATCCAGTCATAGTACATATTTGGCACAATTAATTATATTTTTACATTCACTACGCGTTACTAAAGCAAATATAGACAAGAAAAATGGTCGAAATCACTTTGGAAACTGCAAAACAGCACAATAAACCCACTGATTTATGGATAATAATTGAAAATAAAGTTTATGATTTAACCAAGTTTCGCAGTGAGGTTTGTAAATAGCAATTGTTTTATTAGAATTATGGTTTTATAATACATATACTTTTTAAAGCACCCTGGAGGTGAAGAAACCTTAGATGAGGTAGCTGGTCGTGATGCCACCAAAGATTTCATTGATGTGGGTCACAGTCAAGAAGCCAGGTAAGTGTTTAGAAGAGTTGTAAGTTTGAAGCTTTGAAGTATTAACTTGTTCAGCTTCCGTAAGCAATAGATTAGAAATGAATTTGTTAGTTTAACCTTAAATAAGACATGAAATCTCTTATCTTTTCAAATCATAGAAATTAGGTTTAAAAGGCGTGTTTTAAATTTGTTATTGATTTGTTAAATTAGTCGTTAAATAAGACTGTATAATATGGTATATACTACAGTCTGAAATATAGATTGAATTACATATTAAAATATAGAATAGACAAGGGTTTAGACTATAGGATATTACTTGGATCATGCTATAGATTAGACCATAGACTATACTACAGAGAAAAGTAAAGACTAGACTAGAAAATTGGTTTCTATGACAACCCTCATTTACAAGACCATTGACTATACTATAGAATGGCTCCTTCAGGCTACACTATAGGTTAGACTATATTATAGAATAGACTATAGGCTAGACTGGTGACTAGATTATATAATAGACTATATACTATATTATAGAATAGACTATAGAGTAGACTTGGGACTAGAATACAGAATACACATTGCTATAAACTAGACTGGTGACAATACTATTACACACTAGGCTATATACTAGACTATAGTCTATATAGAACTCCTATAGACGAGACTATATACTATGCTATAAAATAGATTATATACTACACAAGACTGGCTATAGACTAGAATATAGAACATCCTATAGACGAGACTATAGACTAGACTATAACTAGGCTATATAGAATAACCTATAGACTACACTATAGGCCAGGCTATATACTAGACTAGAGTGGTAACTAGATTATAGGATAGTCTATAGACTAGACTATAGGATAGTCTATAGACTAGACTATAGGATAGTCTAAAGACTAGACTATAGGATAGTCTATAGACTAGACTATAGATTAGACTATAGACTAGACTATTGACTTAACTTTGAACAAGACTATAGAATAGACGAGACTATCGACTAGACTATATAGAATCGCCTATAGACTACACTATAGGCCAGGCTATATACTATATATAAACTAGACTGTATACAACACTATAGACTAGACTGGTAACTATACTATAGGATAGTCTATAGAATAGACTATAGGATAGTCTATAGACTAGACTATAGATTATACTATAGACTTAACTATGAACTAGACTATATAATAGACTAAATGCTATACTATAGACTAGATTTTAGAGTACACCAGGTTACAGACTAGATTGGTGACTAGACTATGGACGATTATAGACTATATTAGGCAATAGACTAGACTATAGATTAGGCTATAGACTTGACTATAGATTAGTCTATAGATTGTATTATAGACTAGGCTATAGACTATAGACAAGACTAAGTATTCAAAACATATCTGCAATGATTTCATTTAACCATTATTTTTTTTCAGAGAAATAATGAAAAAATACTATATTGGAGATTTAGCTGCCAAAGATTGTAAAAATAAGCTGCCACTCAGGTAAATTTCTTCTAAAAAAATTTATTTCATTAGCATGTTTCTTTGTAAATATGATTAAGCTATATTTTTAATTAGCATGTTTATCCAATACGAATTACCTATAAATAGAAGTGTATGTTATTTATTGCCTAATATGATGCTAATTCAAATTTAATGTACAATTTCTACTTGCATGTATTTATTTTTAAGTAATTTTGTATTTTAAAAATTTATTTAAATTTCTAAACAGTTTCTTTGTTAAACCTGCTTATGTATGTATATCATCAACTGAAATGCTTTCTTTTATAATTAATTTATATTCATACTGAATTTTAATATACTTATCTCATTTTATTACAATTTTAGTTGTAAATATTTCTATTCAACAAAAAAGATAAAATACTACAAATCATATTTTTGAAACCATCAATATTTAAAAATTTTCTTTGTAAGTTTTGAATGCCATTATTCTAACACTTTATACAAAATCACATTTATTATCTTATTTAACGTGTTGGGTTGTTTGTTTGGTAAATTCAATACCAAATATGTATATTGATTTCATTGTTTTTTTTTTTTAATTTTTTTTACAAACATTTTTCCAGTCCTAATACCGTTAATGCTACCGAAAATCACGAAAAGCTTAATGTTCCAAAACAATGTTGTCTTATTAGTTAATTTTATTCTGTTTTGTATTGTTTAAATAATTAGTTTTCAGTTTTTTTTTAACTTGGTTTATGGTTTTTAGCACAAATAAGTTTTTATGAAACATTCCTTTTATTTAATAAATTATTTTTATAAATTGAACGAATATCTGCAGGGAAATTGGTATTGCTGTTGGCGCTGTGGTTATTGGAGTTGCTGCCGTATTTTTAATTAAAAAGGCTTTAGCCAAAAATTAGTTTAAATAAATTTCTATTAATTTAATAGAAAAGAACATTATGTCATTCCCTTTGTTGATAAATTGCGAAAAGTTTATTATTTTTAATGTTATATTGCCCTGGTTGTTTGATAAGGAACAAAGTAATCATGTATAGTGTTCAGTTTTAAATATAATAAACTTATGAAAATATTGCTATAAATAATGTTCAGAAAGATTTGATTTTTTTTTTTAAGGAAATTGTGTTTTTGTTTCAGTATTTGTGAAAAATATGTTTTTAAAATCTTTCGGCAATTAGTTTTTTCTCAATAAATTTCTTATTTCTACTAGATAATTAAATCATTATTATCACATTGTATTAATTTCTTACTTTTTCTTTGCAGGTTGTTGTAATCATCATCTATAAATCTCTTCCAGCATCTACAATTTAAATCGGCAATCTCTTTTTATACTCAATAAATTATTAGAACAAGTTAAACTTTTTTTATAAAAATAGTTTATTTCTTAATATCTTATATATTAAGGCTACAATCAATTAAATAATATATTTACTTAAGCATACCTATTACAATATATAACGCCTTAAAGAAACCCATTACCCAAAACTAGGAAAAATAGAAAATATGTCTTTAAACAAATGATTTAATCCTTAAAAGCTTCATTGAGTGCTGACAAATTGCGATCACTAACGAAACCCTGTAAATCATTGCGACCCATCAGCGAAATAACCATTTTTAAAGTACTCCATATAGACTCGGACATTTGTTGCTGACCAGCACCCACTGAGCCGGCTGGTAGTTCTCGACTAGCGGCCACATTCGCCTGCATGTTAAGGGCGGTCAATAGATGTTCAACGGCTTGTTGGTAGGCTTTCAAATTTAAACAGCACACACCCACATTGTAGCGTACCCGTATGAAACCTGGTTCCAATTCCAAAGCTCTTTGATAGGCCTCAACTGCTTCTACGGAACGAGAACCATTAGCTAAACTGGCTCCCAGGCGATTCCAAACTTTAGCATTTTGTGGATTGGCATGTAGAGCAGCCTGAAAACAATCCACCGCCTTGTCATATTCCGAGGAGAGATTGTAGAGTACACCCAAGGCCTCCTGAACCTCAGGATCTACAGTTTGTGGATTCATGCGTACCGCTTCTAAATACATATTCTGTACCTCTTGCAACTTATTACCGCGTATCAATGATGAAGCCATTGAGGCGGCTGCATCTGCTGGAGTTTCAGGTTGAGCGGGCACTAGATGTTTGTATTTAGGATGTAACTGCAACCAATTGGTTAACATTTTCACCGCCTGCGACTGTAAACTTTCATTGGTGTAACACACTGCCAAAGCCATTAAAACTTTAAGATTATCGGGCCTTAAATCTAACGACCTCTTTAAGGCTGCTATACCTTGTGGATCCATTTCATTTTCTGCCTGTGATATACCTAAAAGTTCCCAGGCTTCAGCATTTTCGGGATCTTTGCTGGCAGCTGCTTCAAAACATAACACTGCACTGGGTATATCACCCTTAGCTAAATATTCTTTGCCCTTTTCCAAGGCATTTTCTATATCCTGCATGGGATTTTCTTCGGCAAACTTGTACTCCTTGTAGGGATCATAATTTTCATCGTATTCCGATAGCCAAGGATGATCTGATTCTTCAGATAATTTTGCCCATTCGTCCTGTAAACGTTGCCAGAATTTCTCATTATAATTGGCAGCAGCCTGTTCATTGCTCTCATTACTGGTTTGATAGTCATTAACCCAATCTTCACCTTGTAGCGCTTCTGGTAATTGTTGTTCTGATTTCTCTATGGCACTGGCTTCTTCGAAGAATTTATCAGTTAAACCAGTAGACATTTGTTGATCCATCATTGCGCTGGGATGGGGAGGACAAATGGCCAAATAGGGAGCCGGTCTATTAAGGTAAGCAGATGAAGTTTCAGGTCCCTCATCGAAAAATTCCCTGACATGAGTCATTTGCTGCTGTTGAGGCTGAACGTGTACCATGTGCGGAGCTGCAGGCGGTTGTATTTGCATGGGTGCGCCAAACTCCTTAGACCACTGGCCGGCCACCTCATCTATAACACGAGGAGCGTGCTGTAATTGTGATGGGCCCATTTGAGCCTGTTCGATTTCACGCATTTCCTGCAGCAAAGTTTCCATTTGAAACGATTGCGGTGGCCCAGCCACTTGACCCAAAAACTCATTTACCATCTGTTCATCTTGACGCATAGAACGTTCAAATTGTGCCTGCACGTAACCTTCATCTTTATGCGCTGCATCACGGGTAAATTGACCACCCAGTTGCATGAGAGGATTTACACCACCACAGTCTCCTTCAACTAGTTGTCTGAGCGACATTTTCTTTAATAAATTTTGTAATGTTTTATTAAATTTTTACAGAATATTGGAATTGGAATGTAGTTGTAATGTTTTTTAGGAGATATATGTTAATCTAATAAAAGATAATACGAGAAAAGTCTAATGTCCACAACAGAAAATTTGTTATTTGTTTTGTTGTTATCAGACAGGTGTGTTGAGTGAGTATAAAAAACAGCTGTCCGGTATAAAATGTGTTTAGTTGGTTTAGTGGGTGTAAACAATAGGCTGAGACTTGCGCCGATTCGGCTTAAGCCGACTAAGCCTAGCCGCCGAACAAAATGTCAAAGCCGCCGCCGCCGAAAATTTTTCAGCTTAATACGGCTTGAAAATTTCGCCATATTTTGTACAATTTACAGAATACTTTCGCTAAATTTGTGGAATTTTACAATATAAAATTAATTTGTTTTCATTTAAGCAAGTTTTCTTTTATCTAATAATAAGCCGCTCATTGAAATTTGGCCGGTGTAGAACTTTGCTCAACGTTCGATGTATATATATGCTTCGCCTCAGATATTTTCGTGTTTTCGCGCCTAATTCGAGTCGCTGCTTTGACTTCAAACCAGCTTCGTTGACGTCAACGGAGCTACACCTTTTTACATTGCTGGTATGTCATACCGTAAAGGGCTAGGGTATCGAACATGTGTATTTCAAATGGGAAGTGCAGTTGATGTCAATTCTGCCGACTGCGAAAAGAAATTCTGCTAGAATTTTTCGCGCCAAACTGTTTTCTGCATTTTTTATTTGCCAAAATAAAAAAATAATTTTTTACTAAAAATTTAAATTAATAACGTCTTTCTTTTCAAGAAAGAGAAGGCATCATGATGGTCTCCTGGAAGAATGCCCACAAGAGAGTGGCAATTGTATACCTCCCTAGTAGCCTAGGCGGGTGGTGGTCGGTCGGCTAGTGGTGACATGGTATATTATCACCTAGAGGCAACGGAAGGAAGCTGATTGCCGTATTCAGGGGGTATCCTTGAGATACATACTTATTATTATACCATTGATCTTAGCAGAATCACTACCATACACCCATAATAGAGCGCGATGTCTGTCAGGTGTGTCTTTCAGTGAAGCTCTTGTTGTCTCCAAACACTATGGTGGCCGAATATTTACAAGAAACAATTGTTAAGCCGTCTTTTATACAAATTTATAGCTTTGTAGAGAATGTCTTCACGGACCTAGAAGATATAACCTGGTACTAACCATTGTGGGCTTTAGATCCCTTATAGTTGTCACACTATACCAAATAAGCATTGTTGCTGGAATTAAAGTTTAAAACAAGTTTAATTCCAGTCAAACATTCAAATTTCAAGTGTTGAAATTCACTTTCGCTACACTTTAATTCAATAGCATTCTCCAGTGAAAACGAAACTTGAATTCAAGTCGAACATTAGAATGTTTTTACAGTATAATTCAATGCACGAAATCTATATATGTACATACATATATAAAATTCTAACGTTACTGACTGACTGATTCATCATCGCACAGCCTAAACGATTTTAGCTAAAGAGCTTAAATTTGGACAGGAGGTTGGTCTCCCACCAAATAGATCCACTAAGACGGGATTTTTGGAAATTCGAATGATTAGGGGGTTAAAAATGGTAAAAACGGGTAAATTCGGTAACCTCATATCTCCTAAACTATAAAAGATACAAAAACAGTTTAAAGCTTATCGTCATTCATTTAAAATATAAGCGGACAGGTGTCTGGTACTTTTTTCAAATTCGGCCCCTTTGGGGAATAAACGGGTAGAAACTGTAATTTGGTACTTCTTTTGCACCCCATGTATCTTTTAAACCAGAGAACATTCAAAAAATATTTTTGAATCCTTCATAACTTGACGAACAAATAAAAATATGAATTTAGTACTTTTTGGATATTCGGACGTTTAAGGGGTGAAAATTGTACCTATTTTTGGTATTTTTTTTTATAAAACATTGTTTTTGGTTTATTAACTTAACATATGAATACATAATAACGGGCTCCCAATACGATGTTGCAACTGGTACTTTTTTGACTTAGAATTTAGAAACATGTAATTAAGCACTTGAGAATCTATAAAAGTGGACTTTTTGGTACTTTTTAGTTCTTCAAAAGGCACTTTTTGAGTTTTCTATAAAATTGAACATAGAAACATGAAATTATGCACGTAGAGCCTGGAGTAAATGAGAATCTATAAAATGGCACTTTTTGGTACTTTTTCGTTCTTTGACTGGTACTTTTTGAGCTTGCTACAAAATTTGAACCTCGAAACATGAAATTAAGCACTTAGAGCCTGGAGTAAATGAGAATCTATAAAATGGGAACTTTATCGTACTTCGACTGGTACTTTTTGAGTTTTCCATAAAATTAAACCTAGAAACATAAAAATAAATATGTAGAGCCCGGAGTAAATTATAATCTATAAAAAGGTACTTTTTAGTACTTTTTCGTTCTTCGACTGGTACTTTTTGAATTTTTTATAATATTGAACCTAGAAAAATGAAATTAAGAATGTACAGCCCGGATTAAGTGATAACATTTAAAAGGGGACTTTTTGGTACTTTTTCGTTCTTCGACTGGTACTTTTTGAATTTTTTATAATATTGAACCTAGAAACATGAAATTAGGAATGTACAGCCCGGATTAAGTGATAACATTTAAAAGGGGACTTTTTGGAATTTTTTCGTTCTTCAACTGGTTCTATTTGAATTTTCTATTATAATGAACCTAAAAACATAAAACTAAGCAATCAGGGACTTGAGTGAATTTAAACTGGAATTTAAACTGGAGTATTTCTGGTAATTTTTCGTTCTTTAACTGGTACTTTTTGAATTTTCTAAAATATTGAATATATAAACATAAAATTAAACACGCAGTATCCTAATTGAACGAAAATTTATCTCGCTTACGCCCATTTTGCAAAAATGGCTCGATATCAATCGAAATTTCTATAGGCCATAATTGACCCTGCCCCCTTCAATAATTGATTTTAACGTTTTTTACGTACTTAATAATACCATAATAAAACAATTTTTGTTGGAACGAAAATATGTAATGCAAATATGTATATGAAATCTTCTTGAGAAAATGACTTAAACGCACATAAATGGATTTAAAATGTCGATGTCGACGAAAAAAAACATTTTAGGAACCGAAAAATAAAGTTATGAGGTTCGGTCCGCCAATATAACCCTCTTACAGAAAATCAGTCTATAGCTAATACATCATTCCAAAAGTTATCATTATGATAGAATTATAGTAGAATTAAAAAAAAAATACTTTAAATTATATATATTATTGATCCAAATCCACATTTAAGTCCCTAATCTGAAAATCACGGTGACGTTCTTATTAATCTAATGATCGGACCACTTCCGAAATTTGCTTTTTTACGACATATGATTTGTCGAATATAACTCTTACTTCTTACTTATTTTAATCATAAATTACCGCTAAAATAGGAATAGTCTGCCTTTAAAGTTGCGAGTTTTCATACATTCTAATAATGTTTTCAAAGTGAAACTTTTGGAATATTTTTCAATCTCTTTGTGATCCCATTAAATGATGTTGTTCTGGAAGAACTTTAACATCCATGTAAACATTTTGGGTAATAAATTGGGGGACTACCAATGAGGGGAGCGGAACCTCCCATATGAATTAAATACAAAAATTCGTTTATCTGGGAAACTAATATAACTAAATTCTTCAAATTTTGCACGAACAACTTTAATATTCATCTGAACATTTTGGAGAAAAAAGGGCGGACTTTCATCTGGGGGGCTTGGAGCTCCCATATGAATTAAATAGAAAATATCTGAGAAACTATTGGAGCTAGAATCTTCAAATTTTACTGAAGACCATTTAGAGAATAACGGGCGAACTTTCAATGGGGGGCTTGGCACTTCCCATATGAATTAAATACAAAATTTTTTATATCTGGAAACTATTAGATTATTCAAGTTTTTCATAGATTAAATTAAACGTGGAATCTCCCATATGTAACAAATTGTATATCTGGAAAACTATTGTAGTTAGAATCATCAAAATTGTTAAGTAGGTTTCTTATTTATATTGCTTTTAGGATAGCACAGCACACTGGGTATAGCTAGTAAATAAACAAATAAAATATCTTTGTTTTTACGTTATTGATCATTTTCTTAAGCAAAATTTTTTAGAAACTGATTTTCTGCAAGATGTTTTATATGGAAGATAGGATTAAATATCGGCAGATCCTAGTAAAACTTGGAGAAAGGATTTGTTTTAAATTTTTAAGAATTTTTTATTCATCCCTGCACAATTTCTCATACAACTTTTGAGTTTGCTCTGTTTTGTTGTTATAAACAATATATTTGCTTCCAAAATCCTACTTTCTGATCTCTCGGATTCCGTTTTTATTTAAAATCGTTGAAAAATTAAAAACTAAACGTAGTTGAAAACTTAGCCGGCTTACAGTCGATTTTAAGCCGCCGCCGACATATTTAGTGTCAATCGCCGTCGCCGTTAATATTTATTTGTCGGCGCAGGGCTCTGACAATAGGGGATTGTGAAGAATATGTAAACTTGTTTTTAAAAAGTTTCCTTGATCTCTAGATTAAGACTGTAGTCTGAAGAAGATACTAGACTATAGCCCAGACCATAGACCAGGATATATAAAAAACTCTAGACTAGACTACTGACCAAACTATAGAATAGAAAATGATTTAGACCGGACAATAGAATAAATTGTAGAATAGGTTACAGACAAAACTATAAGGTATAGTCCAGACTATAGACTAGGAAATAGTACAAACTATAGACAGGAATATAGTCCATACTATAGATCAGACTCCAGTTCAGACTATATATTAGATTAAAGGAGTATAGACAATATACTGGTCTATACATTAGATCGGCCTATAGACTAGCTTATAGATTGGAATATAGTACAGACTATAGACTAGACTATAGTCCAGACTTGACTATATTTCAGACAATATACTATGCTATGGATTTTAGACTACAGTTTAGACTTATTTGGTTTATTTTGTATAAAACTAGCCATTTCATGTTTAATCTTTATCTTTATTCTTATCAGTCTTTGTTATTTTAATAACCTTATCATTAGATACTTTAATATTGTTATTCTGCTTTTCCTCAGTCTTAATATTGCAAACTTCTGCCACAGATTCAGGATTCTCTAACCAAAATTTATATTCTGTCTTAACATTAAAATTTCTTTGATAACCACATAATTTACAAGCCATTTGCATTTGACAATCCTGATCTAAATGTTCCACATCTTTAGGCTTTCTTCTTTTCTTGCGCAGACTTTTAACATTCAAATCGCTGGTAATACCTGGCTTTTGTGCCAAAGAGCAGCGTTTGCATAAGTCACGTTTAACAGTGGGATCTCTGGAATTATTTTAAGAAATTATAGGTAAAGTTTTAATAATATTTCTTGAAAATAATACTACTTACATTCTTAGTACCGCCTTTTTGCCCACATTCTTACAAAGTTCCCCATAGTAGGAGGAGAGTGCATTATTTTTGCCAGCCATTAGCAGGGAAGCTTGATATAAGAAATTCATGCGACTAAAACATTCTTTTCCTTGAAAATGATGTTTTGTTTTAGTTTGAGACATTTTACTTTAAAATTAAATAGTTTTTATTAGTAAATTAAATGTTTTTTAAATATAAACAAAACAATTCACGTGTAAAAAGTTGTTTGTTTACTTTTATTTACTAATAACAAAAACAGAGCTGTTAATTAACAGCTGTTGAGTAGAACAGTTTTTTATTTTTCTACTTAACTGTTATAAAGTAAACTATTATATATGTGAACTAAACACAGCTTGTATAAAGGAAAATTGTAAGTGTTGTTATTTAAGCGAGTTTGTTGGTTAATAAACAGAATTTGTTTAATAAAACAATAGCATTTATTATTAAAAATAAATATTTGAAGCAGCAAATAGCTTTCAACAAATAAACCAAAACAATTTTTCAAAATAAAAAACAATTTATAGATAAAAATTTCGACAAATTTTAAAAACTTTTCAAAAAACGCTAGAAGATTTTTTAGAATAATAGTCTGCAATTTAGCGTTTTTTTTTGTCCTAACATATTACCCACATTGTAACAACTGTGTTGTGAAAAAATTAGCTAATTTTTGTGAAAAAATTGTGAAGAAAAAATTTTCATGTGAATTATTATCAAAAAATTGCAAAAATCTTAAATAAATTTATGCTTAACAAAGCATTAAATAGTTTTTAATTAATATCTACAATAATAAATTATAAAATATGCCATTTAATGCCAGGCATACTTACAATACACGCCATGACCATAACACGACCCATGGAAATACTGGAGGTATAGGCAGCAGCAGTCTCAATACCGCAAACGCTGCTAGCAACAGCTCTAATACAGTTAATGGCATTTTACGTAAAGTGAATGGCTCTATGTCCGGTTTATCTGCTTCATCATCTTCGTTGTCGAGTACATCCAATGCCAACGAAGTGCGTCATGTTGATTTATTGGTATTTGGTTATGCCTGCAAAGTATTTCGCGATGATGCCAAAGCCCGTGATATTGATCAGGGCAAACATTTAATACCCTGGATGGGCGATAATAATCTAAAAATTGACAGGTTAATATTTGTTTATTAAATATTCATAAATAAGTTTTTTTTTTTTGATAAAATTAAAAATGTCTTAACAAAATATGCGTTGATTAAACGCATTTAATACTTTTTTGTATAGAATAAGTTTTCTTAATGCATTTATTATTTTGTTATACCTTACACCATTATGGGTTTGTGCTGATGTTTGAAACGTTCAAAATTGAATCCGTTATACTGGTCGAGTGCCCGGTACCCATAAATCAGACTGGAAAATTCTCAAAATATAAGATCCCCTTTAGAAAATAACATTGACCTTTGAATTTCGACTCAATCTACCCTCCAGATATGACTTCCATGAATGATTCAACATAAACTGGTGTAGGGTATCATGTGGTCGGGTATGCCCGATTATTTTTTATTAAGTTATTTCTAGTCATTTATTTTATATTTAATAATTTTTAATAATTTACAGCATAAATTGAATATTTAAGATATGAATCTAAAAAGGGTTAATTTTTTATTTAAAAATATTCTCGAAATTATGTATGTATGTAGGTTGTATGGAACATAAATGCTGTTTTAAACCCGATTTTTATATAAGTTTTTTTTTAAAGAAAAAATTATAATTAAGAACAACATATCTACAACAAGATAACCGCTCAGCTCCTAAGGGCCTAAAAAACAGCGGAATCATTGTGAATGAACGGACTTAAATATTCTATTAGCCGTTGATCTCTAAAAGCTTTTGGATGTACAATTTGATATGCACAATTTGACAGCTAAAATCAATTTAAATGTCTGAAAAATGCAGGGTCCCTAGCCTAGTCTGTCAATAGTCATTAACTAGTCTATAGATTATAGGATTATAGCCTTGAATGGAATATAGCCTAGTAAGTAAACTGGAACTGAACTAGAACTGAACTAGAACTGAACTAGAACTGAACTAGAACTGAACTAGAACTGAACTAGAACTGAACTAGAACTGAACTAGAACTGAACTAGAACTGAACTAGAACGAACTAGAACTGAACTAGAACTGAACTAGAACTGAACTAGAACTGAACTAGAACTGAACTAGAACTGAACTAGAACTGAACTAGAACTGAACTAGAACTGAACTAGAACTGAACTAGAACTGAACTAGAACTGAACTAGAACTGAACTAGAACTGAACTAGAACTGAACTAGAACTGAACTAGAACTGAACTAGAACTGAACTAGAACTGAACTAGAACTGAACTAGAACTGAACTGAACTAGAACTGAACTAGAACTGAACTAGAACTGAACTAGAACTGAACTAGAACTGAACTAGAACTGAACTAGAACTGAACTAGAACTGAACTAGAACTGAACTAGAACTGAACTAGAACTGAACTAGAACTGAACTAGAACTGAACTAGAACTGAACTAGAACTGAACTAGAACTGAACTAGAACTGAACTAGAACTGAACTAGAACTGAACTAGAACTGAACTAGAACTGAACTAGAACTGAACTAGAACTGAACTAGAACTGAACTAGAACTGAACTAGAACTGAACTAGAACTGAACTAGAACTGAACTAGAACTGAACTAGAACTGAACTAGAACTGAACTAGAACTGAACTAGAACTGAACTAGAACTGACTAGAACTGAACTAGAACTGAACTAGAACTGAACTAGAACTGAACTAGAACTGAACTGAACTAGAACTGAACTAGAACTGAACTAGAACTGAACTAGAAGTGAACTAGAAACTGAACTAGAACTGAACTAGAACTGAACTAGAACTGAACTAGAACTGAACTAGAACTGAACTAGAACTGAACTAGAACTGAACTAGAACTGAACTAGAACTGAACTAGAACTGAACTAGAACTGAACTAGAACTGAACTAGAAATGAACTAGAACTAAACTATAACTGCATAGTCTGGTTGGACTTTTAATTTTTAGCACTTTTATTGAAAGTCCAATTTTATTACGAGTTTGACTAATTTGCTTTTAAGATTAAAAAACCTTTCTTGCAAAGTATAAATGTTTCGCAAAGCATAAAGAATTTAGATTTAGAATTAGTCCTAAAGGAAAACACCAAATGCTCCTTCAACAAGATGTCCACTAATCAGCCCTAAAGGATAAACTCAATTCTAGAATAAAATATTTTACTTGACAATGCTGTAAAATGTACAAATATTTTTGGTTTTAAAAGTTAAATTTATATTTTGGATATACACGTATGAACCGATTTTTTTAAAAGATAAAACTAATGAAACGTAAAATGGTATGTATGTATTATTAATTAAAATGATTTAAAACAAAATAAAATCCCAAAAGTTTAGGTTGTTATTTAAAAGAAAAAAATCCATTTAAAGATAAAAACATGTAAATAGTTTTATTTCTGTTTTCTTTTTGTTAATAATTTCTTTAGTTGCGCTCTTGTTTTGAATATGATTTTAATTTTATTTTGTCAACTATTATTTCTTCTTTCCATACGTGTTAAACAAACGAATGCCCTTCACTTAACAAAATAAAATAAAACTGAAACAAAATTTAAAAAAAATCAATTTTGAAAAACTGCCCACAACATCATGTATCCAAAAAACTATGTATTCGTTTGCGCTCAAATATCAGATATGATGTGCGTGGTGCTTTATATGATTTAACTCCCTATGAACCACCACCGGGAGGTTATGGCAACCGTTTAGATTATCTGACGGCTGAGGAACAAAGAGCCGAACAATTGTGCGAAGAAGAACGTTATTTATTTTTATACAACAATGAGGAAGATGTCATAACCAAACAGGGTAAGTTGGCTAAAATTTTACAATTGTTAATTGTTTAAAACATTTAAACAAAATTACTATGTCCTAAAATATTTTGTTGGGGAGCTTTACCACTAAAGCTCCCTTCATTTTTTGTAATATAAATATAATTTAGCTTTTAAATAAAAGTGATAAAGTAAAAATTAAACATTCCTTAATAAAAACTATAAATAAAATGCCTACACGTAAGTAAACTATACTCCACGAAAGGATTTTAGCCATTTAACTACATTAAAAAGCTTGTTAGTTATGAAAGCTTTTTAAATAAGCTTTAGGCTTAAGTTGACAGTTTAAGGATGTGAAAATTACGTTCCGCCACAGGTAAATACCAAAATATTTTCATATAAATGCTAATATTTATTTACAGATTTTACAAAAACTAAAAGCTGCAATTCCCTGAGAAATATATCCGTCAGTGTATACTTGTTATTGTAAATTAAAGATGTCCTTCTACTGCAACAGCTTTAAAATTCGTTTATTTAAAAAAGAAACAACATTTTTATTACTCTAAAAATTATAAGCTTTTATTATAACATAAATTTTTTAGATTTTTTTCTTGCCGACAACAATTTCTGTTGTGATTTTTTATATCATGTTTCATTGCTGGAAAACTTATTCTGGTTTCTTTTTATCTTTCTTCTAATACTTTTTTTGGGTTTATTTTGGCTTTGGTGCATTTATTGATGTGATTAGAGGAGGAATTGAAACGTCTGCAACAGGAAACCAATGGCTGTAGTTATAGTCAAGTTGGCTTTTCATACGATCAATCACAACAAATTGGTCCCAATCGCGAAGAGTTTTCCAATTCACCATCATGTGAAGAAGCTGAACAAGCATTTCAATTACCCTACAATTTTCAAGTGCCAGAGGGAATGCAATTGGTGAGTAGACTATTTAATGGATACGTTCTCTTCAGTCATTGTCCTGATCTAGTTCTGTTCTAGTTCTGTTCTAGTTCTGTTCTAGTTCTGTTCTAGTTCTGTTCTAGTTCTGTTCTAGTTCTGTTCTAGTTCTGTTCTAGTTCTGTTCTAGTTCTGTTCTAGTTCTGTTCTAGTTCTGTTCTAGTTCTGTTCTAGTTCTGTTCTAGTTCTGTTCTAGTTCTGTTCTAGTTCTGTTCTAGTTCTGTTCTAGTTCTGTTCTAGTTCTGTTCTAGTTCTGTTCTAGTTCTGTTCTAGTTCTGTTCTAGTTCTGTTCTAGTTCTGTTCTAGTTCTGTTCTAGTTCTGTTCTAGTTCTGTTCTAGTTCTGTTCTAGTTCTGTTCTAGTTCTGTTCTAGTTCTGTTCTAGTTCTGTTCTAGTTCTGTTCTAGTTCTGTTCTAGTTCTGTTCTAGTTCTGTTCTAGTTCTGTTCTAGTTCTGTTCTAGTTCTGTTCTAGTTCTGTTCTAGTTCTGTTCTAGTTCTGTTTCTAGTTCTGTTCTAGTTCTGTTTCTAGTTCTGTTTCTAGTTCTGTTCTAGTTCTGTTCTAGTTCTGTTCTAGTTCTGTTCTAGTTCTGTTCTAGTTCTGTTCTAGTTCTGTTCTAGTTTCTGTTCTAGTTCTGTTCTAGTTCTGTTCTAGTTCTGTTCTAGTTCTGTTCTAGTTCTGTTCTAGTTCTGTTCTAGTTCTGTTCTAGTTCTGTTCTAGTTCTGTCTAGTTCTGTTCTAGTTCTGTGCTAGTTCTGTTCTAGTTCTGTTCTAGTTCTGTTCTAGTTCTGTTCTAGTTCTGTGTCTAGTTCTGTTCTAGTTCTGTTCTAGTTCTGTTCTAGTTCTGTTCTAGTTCCTGTTCTAGTTCTGTTCTAGTTCTGTTCTAGTTCTGTCTAGTTCTGTTCTAGTTCTGTTCTAGTTCTGTTCTAGTTTCTGTTCTAGTTCTGTTCTAGTTCTGTTCTAGTTCTGTTCTAGATTCTGTTCCTAGTCTGTTCTAGTTCTGTTCTAGTTTCTGTTCTATTCTGTTTCTAGTTCTGTTCTAGTTCTGTTCTAGTTCTGTTCTAGTTTTGTTCTAGTTCTGTTCTAGTTCTGTTCTAGTTCTGTTCTAGTTCTGTTCTAGTTCTGTTCTAGTTCTGTTCTAGTTCTGTTCTAGTTCTGTTCTAGTTCTGTTCTAGTTCTGTTCTAGTTCTGTTCTAGTTCTGTTCCAGTTCTTTTCTAGTTCTGTTCTAGTTCCATTCTAGTTCCATTCTAGTTCCATTCTAGTTCCATTCTAGTTCTGTTCTAGTTCTGTTCTAGTTCTGTTCTAGTTCTGTTCTAGTTCTGTTCTAGTTCTGTTCTAGTTCTGTTCTAGTTCTGTTCTAGTTCTGTTCTAGTTCTGTTCTAGTTCTGTTCTAGTTCTGTTCTAGTTCTGTTCTAGTTCTGTTCTAGTTCTGTTCTAGTTCTGTTCTAGTTCTGTTCTAGTTCTGTTCTAGTTCTGTTCTAGTTCTGTTCTAGTTCTGTTCTAGTTCTGTTCTAGTTCTGTTCTAGTTCTGTTCTAGTTCTGTTCTAGTTCTGTTCTAGTTCCGTTCTAGTTCTGTTCTAGTTCTGTTCTAGTTTTGTTCTTTTCTAGTTCTGTTCTAGTTTTGTTCTTTTCTAGTTCTGTTCTAGTTCTGTTCTAGTTCTGTTCTAGTTTTGTTCTAGTTCTGTTCTAGTTCTGTTCTAGTTCTGTTCTAGTTCTGTTCTAGTTCTGTTCTAGTTCTGTTCTAGTTCTGTTCTAGTTCTGTTCTAGTTCTGTTCTAGTTCTGTTCTAGTTCTGTTCTAGTTCTGTTCTAGTTCTGTTCTAGTTCTGTTCTAGTTCTGTTCTAGTTCTGTTCTAGTTCTGTTCTAGTTCTGTTCTAGTTCTGTTCTAGTTCTGTTCTAGTTCTGTTCTAGTTCTGTTCTAGTTCTGTTCTAGTTCTGTTCTAGTTCGTTCTAGTTCTGTTCTAGTTCTGTTCTAGTTCTGTTCTAGTTCTGTTCTAGTTCTGTTCTAGTTCTGTTCTAGTTCTGTTCTAGTTCTGTTCTAGTTCTGTTCTAGTTCTGTTCTAGTTCTGTTCTAGTTCTGTTCTAGTTCTGTTCTAGTTCTGTTCTAGTTCTGTTCTAGTTCTATTCTAGTTCTGTTCTAGATCTGTTCTAGTTCTGTTCTAGTTCTGTTCTAGTTCTGTTCTAGTTCTCTTCTAGTTCCCCTCTAGTTCTGTTCTATAGTTAATATTTCAAACATGTTTCTCGAAAATAATACATTTTTCGTATAATTCTTTAAACCGTTGCAGCCTGAAACAATGAAACAACATGCTATAATCGAGAAAACCGCTCGTTTTATAGCCTCTCAAGGTGTACAAATGGAAATTCTATTAAAAGCCAAACAATCGAATAATGTACAATTTGAATTTTTATCCCGAAACTCCATACTAAATCCCTACTATAAATATGTGGTAAGTTCCATAAAAGATGGCACCTATCCCCAGCACACCGAAGCCAAAGAAAAAGACCCCAAAGAAAGTGGTGACAATGCCAATAGTAATACACTGGGCTCTGGGACAGAAAATGTGGTGTTAAAAACCTGTTGTAACAGTACCCACCATTAAATACAAACCCTCAGCGGATTGTGCTTATACACAGTTGATAAGTAAAATTAAGGGTGTACCACTTTCCGAACTGCACGATGAAAGTTCTAGACAAAGTTTGAACTCACAGCAGGAAAGTGCAAATAATTCCCCTTCCTTAACACCAGTGTTGTTACAATATAATGGTGCCACTTTTGTGACGGAACAAGATGAAAATTCCAACTCTAATACGGGGCAAACAAAAACAACTACTGATACATTAAATGATTCACAGCCAAAAGTGGAGATTTTAAAAAATTCCAGTGCATTGGCTTTGGCACAAAATTACTCTTCCGATTCGGAAACAGAGGAAGAAGAGGCTGATGAAGCCGAGGGAGAGAAAACACCACCGAAATTAGAATTTCCATTACCACCGGAAAGTTTACAAAATATTATCGATAAAACTGCAGTGTATGTCATAAAGAATGGACGACAATTTGAGGAAACGTTGCGCAGTAAATCTGTAGAACGTTTTACTTTCTTGCTGCCTGATAATGAATTTTATCCTTATTATATGTATAAAATAACGGGAGACCCTAATGCCGCTTCTAAAGAACAAAAGAAAACGTAAAGCTAAAGAAGTAGCAGAGGCGCTTTTAAGTAAAAAAGGTTTAAGTGGTGATAAATCGACAGCAACAAGTAGGTTTAAAAGTATAGTAATTACAAAGTAAACAAAAACTAAATCTTTGTTATTGTTTTACCTCTAGACCCTGTATCGTTTTCCATAAAAAATAAAGATGAAACTGCAACAAATGTTTCCCTGCAACAGCCCGCTTTACCTCAAGAACACAGCGATGATGAGGATAAACCAAAAACAAATGCATCAGCTAACAGTTCCCAACGTCATGTACCCGAACATGTACAAAAAGCCATACAATTGGTTGAATCCCAGCTAATGGCTAGAAATGCTCAGTTGGCGGCCACCTTAGCTTTAAGACAAACAACGCCTCTTGCCAATAGTGGTGGAAGTAGTGGTAATAGTAACTTAAAATCCTTATCCACACGCTATGATGCCGAGAAATTAACAACAAAATTACCAACCAGTTCTGTGACAAAATTATCTACCAGTTCTGTAGCTATAAACACCAGCAGCACTTCAAACACTTCCAAAGCAGAAGCGGAACGAAATGCTTTATTTGAACAGCAGCAACAGCAACGTCATAAGGAATTAAAGAAAGGTGAGAATGTATGTGTGAGTTGAGATCTAGTTCAGCTCTAGTTCAGTTCTAGTACAGTTCTAGTTCAGTTGTAGTTCAGTTGTAGTTCAGTTGTAGTTCTGTTCTAGTTCTGTTCTAGTTCTGTTCTAGTTCTGTTCTAGTTCTGTTCTAGTTCTGTTCTAGTTCTGTTTTAGTTCTGTTCTAGTTCTGTTCTAGTTCAGTTCTAGTTCTAGTTCTGTTCTGTTCTAGTTCTGTTCTGTTCTGTTCTGTTCTGTTCTGTTCTGTTCTGTTCTGTTCTGTTTGTTCTGTTCTAGTTCTGTTCTGTTCTAGTTCTGTTCTAGTTCTAGTTCTGTTCTAGTTCTGTTCTAGTTCTGTTCTAGTTCTGTTCTAGTTCTGTTCTAGTTCTGTTCTAGTTCTGTTCTAGTTCTGTTCTAGTTCTGTTCTAGTTCTGTTCTAGTTCTGTTCTAGTTCTGTTCTAGTTCTGTTCTAGTTCTGTTCTAGTTCTGTTCTAGTTCTGTTCTAGTTCTGTTCTAGTTCTGTTCTAGTTCTGTTCTAGTTCTGTTCTAGTTCTGTTCTAGTTCTGTTCTAGTTCTGTTCTAGTTCTGTTCTAGTTCTGTTCTAGTTCTGTTCTAGTTCTGTTCTAGTTCTGTTCTAGTTCTGTTCTAGTTCTGTTCTAGTCCTGTCCTAGTTCTGTTCTAGTTCTGTTCTAGTTCTGTTCCAGATCTGTTCTAGTTCTGTTCTAGTTCTAGTTCTGTTCTAGTTCTGTTCTAGTTCTGTTCTAGTTCTGTTCTAGTTCTGTTCTAGTTCTGTTCTAGTTCTGTTCTAGTTTCTGTTCTAGTTATGTTCTAGTTATGTTCTAGTTATGTTCTAGTTCTGTTCTAGTTTCTGTTCTAGTTCTGTTCTAGTTCTGTTCTAGTTCTGTTTCTAGGTTCCTGTTCTAGTTCTGTTCTAGTTCTGTTCTAGTTCTGTTCTAGTTCTGTTCTAGTTCTGTTCTAGTTCTGTTTCTAGTTGCTGTTCTAGGTCCTGTTCTAGTTCTGGTTCTAGTTCTGTTCGAGTTCTGTTCGAGTTCTGTTCTAATTCTGTTCTAGTTCTGTTCTAGTTCTGTTCTAGTTCTGTGCTAGTTCTGTTCTTAGTTCTGTTCTAGTTCTGTTCTAGTTCTGTTCTAGTTCTGTTCTAGTTCTGTTCTATGTTCTGTTCTAGTCCTGTCCTAGTTCGTTTCTAGTTCTGTTCGTAGTTCGGTTCCAGATCTGTCTTCTGTTCGTTCGTTCTTTCTAGTTCTATTGTTCTAGTTCTGTTCTAGTTCTGTGTCTAGTTCTGTTCTAGTTCTGTTCTAGTTCTGTTCTAGTTCTGTGCTAGTTCTGTTCTAGTTTCTAGTTTCTAGTTCTGTTCTAGTAGTATGTTCTAGTTAGGTTATGTTCTAGTTTCTGTTCTAGTTCTGTTCTAGTTCTGTTCTAGTTCTGTTTCTAGTTCTGTTCTAGTTCTGTTCTAGTTCTGTTCTAGTTCTGTTCTAGTTCTGTTCTAGTTCTGTTCTAGTTCTGTTCTAGTTTCTGTTCTAGTTCTGTTCTAGTTCTGTTCTAGTTCTGTTCTAGTTCTGTTCTAGTTCTGTTCTAGTTCTGTTCTAGTTCTGTTCTAGTTCTGTTCTAGTTCTGTTCTAGTTCTGTTCTAGTTCTGTTCTAGTTCTGTTCTAGTTCTGTTCTAGTTTCTGTTCTAGTTCTGTTCTAGTTCTGTTCTAGTTCTGTTCTAGTTCTGTTCTAGTCCTGTCCTAGTTCTGTTCTAGTTCTGTTCTAGTTCTGTTCCAGATCTGTTCTTGTTTCTGTTCTTGTTCTGTTCTAGTTTCTGTTCTAGTTCTGTTCTAGTTCTGTTCTAGTTCTGTTCTAGTTGCTGTTCTAGTTCTGTTCTAGTTCTGTTCTAGTTTTTCTAAGTTCTGTTCTAGTTCCTGTTCTAGTTATGTTGCTAGTTATGTTCTAGTTATGTTCTAGTTCTGTTCTAGTTCTGTTCTAGTTCTGTTCTAGTTCTGTTCTAGTTCTGTTCTAGTGTCTGTTCTAGGTTCTGTTCAAGTTCTGTTCTAGTTCTGTTCCTAGTTCTGTTTTAGTTCTGTCTAGTTCATGTTCTAGTTTCGTGTTCGAGTTCTGTTCTAGTTCTGTTCTAGTTCTGTCTAGTTCTGTTCTAGTTCTGGTTCTAGTTCTGTCTAGTTCTGTTCTTAGTTTGTTCTAAGTTCTGTTCTAAGTTCTGTTCTAGTTCTGTTTCTAGTGTCTGTTTCTAGTTCTGTTCTAGTTCTGTTCTAGTTCTGTTCTAAGTTCTGTTTCTAGTTCTGTTCTAGTTGTCTGTTCCTAGTTCTTCTAGTTCTGTTCTAGTTCTGTTCTAGTTCTGTTCTAGTTCTGTTCTAGTTCTGTTCTAGTTCTGTTCTAGTTCTGTTCTAGTTCTGTTCTAGTTCTGTTCTAGTTCTGTTCAAGTTCTGTTCAAGTTCTTCAAGTTCGGTTCTAGTTCTGTTCTAGTTCTGTTCTAGTTCTGTTCTAGTTCTGTTCTAGTTCTGTTCTAGTTCTGTTCTAGTTCTGTTCTAGTTCTGTTCTAGTTCTGTTCTAGTTCTGTTCTAGTTCTGTTCTAGTTCTGTTCTAGTTCTGTTCTAGTTCTGTTCTAGTTCTGTTCTAGTTCTGTTCTAGTTCTGTTCTAGTTCTGTTCTAGTTCTGTTCTAGTTCTGTTCTAGTTCTGTTCTAGTTCTGTTCTAGTTCTGTTCTAGTTCTGTTCTAGTTCTGTTCTTGTACTGCTCTGGTTCTGTTCTATGAATGAATAGTTTTTATTTAATGTTTTATTGTTCCATTTTATAGCTGAAGAAAAAGTTAAAGATAAATTGGCCCAAATTGCTCGCGAAAAACTTGGCGGTTTAATATCGAAGGAAAAACAGTTGCAATTGGAGCGTAAACGTAAAGCCATGGCATTTTTAAATCAAATTAAAGGTAAGTGGGAAAAATTATATTTTTTACTTTTCTCTTCAACGTTAAAACAAGTCAATTAAGGGGTTTTATTGCAAAATGTCTTTGAAATTATATCAATTGCCAAATCCAAATAATTCTGTTTCCACAAATTTAAAGTTTAAAATATTTCTGTTGTAAATGAAGTCGTCTTCATAAGATGAAATTCTTATCTATGACTCACATCTCCTCTAAAAAGTTGGATAAACTTTTTACAAACAATTATTAAATATAAAAATTTTATTATTTTATCGATATCTTTGCTTTACCAAAAAAAAATCAATTAAAATTACAAATCTAGTTCAAGTTCAGTTCAAGTTCAGTTATAGAACAATTGTAGTTCGGTTCTTGTTCAGTATCATTCCAGCTGTAGTTTAATAATATAAAATTTCCTACTCCTTTCACTTCTTAATCTATTCAGGTGTTTCAAAGACTGACAACGATTCCGAAGCAGATGCTGTCAAGAAAACCAAATTATCAAATAACGAAGATGAGGGTAATAATAGTGATGATTCAGATGCGTCAGTACACTCCATACCCATTACATCGTATGGACCGAATAGCGATGATGAAGTAGAAGAAAAACTTGAAAATAAAATAATAACTCCGACACCTCCGTCACCGCCGCTTATACCAATAAAATCAAAAGATTTAACACTTCATAAAACCCCCACCGTTAATGTGTCCGATGATGATGAAGTGGAATTAATAAGTGAAATTAAACCTAGAGAAATATATAGTAAAAGACGCTCTAGATCAAGATCCAAAGACATTTTAATAACATCTACACATAGTCGCCGGCATTATAGAAAACGCACACCATCCACAGAGTCTTTGTTGTCCTCGAATGATGACGACGAGGAGGAGGAAGATCGGGAAGATGATGGTAGATCTCATAGATCGAAATCAAAATCACATAAATCGAAAAAATCCAAATCGAAAAAATCCTCCAAAAGTAAAAAGAAATCGAAAAAACGTTCTCGTTCCAAATCACGCACACGTTCGCGCTCTCGTTCACGTAGTCATCATCACAGCCATTATCACAGTGAGCGTTATCGTCAAAGAAGTAGATCACGTAGTTATAATAATCATGAAGAATATTACAAACCAAGCCACAGTGAAAGAGAAAGAGATAGGGATAGAGAACAACGCAAAAGATCATCGCACACTCCCAGTCGCAGCCATTACAGCAGTAGCAGTAGTCGTTCCCATAAAGATAAAAGTCGTTCACATAGATATGATTAAATCTTACAACTTCGTTTTACTTTTGAATAACTTTTTACCTTAAAAAAATAGTACTTCCGTTACACCCCCTCTCCCATATCAGTAAGTACTTCCGGGGCTACATATTTGTACTATAGAGTTTTCTTTTTATATAAATATTTACCATACTGCATACACACGTTATATAGAAAGTTTTTAATCTTTAAGTATTTAGTGTTTAAAGATAATAAATATACGTAAAATGTTGTTTACATTGTTTTAGGTAGTTACATAAAATGTGTAAATAAAAATTAAATTATAAATAAAATAAAAAAATGTTTGTTATTATTTTTTATGTGTTTTTGTATTTGTATATTAAATCACAGGTTTCTTAATATACCACCAACTGTACATATAACTAAAATTATTACTAAATTTATATTAAATTCTATAATAAATTTTAAAATTCCAATTCGCCGGGAAGATATTTATCGATTAATGATTGATAGTAGGGCCATAAAGCTTCAATATCAGGTATCTTTTCACTTTTGGTGTATAAATCATAACGGCTGAAAGAAGGAGAAAAGTTATAAAAGAAAATTAATAACGGTAGTTTGTAAAAACAAAGGTTTAGTTCTGTTCAAGTTGTGCTCTAGTTGTGTTCTTGTTCTGTTCTAGTTATGTTCTAGTTCTGTTCTAGTTCTGTTCTAGTTCTGTTCTAGTTCTGTTCTAGTTCTGTTCTAGTTCTGTTCTACTTCTGTTCTAGTTCTGTTCTAGTTCTGTTCTAGTTCTGTTCTAGTTCTGTTCTAGTTCTGTTCTAGTTCTGTTCTAGTTCTGTTCTATTTCTGTTCTAGTTCTGTTCTAGTTCTGTTCTAGTTCTGTTCTAGTTCTGTTCTATTTCTGTTCTAGTTCTGTTCTAGTTCTGTTCTAGTTCTGTTCTAGTTCTGTTCTAGTTCTGTTCTAGTTCAGTTCTAGTTCTGTTCTAGTTCAGTTCTAGTTCTGTTCTAGTTCTGTTCTAGTTCTGTTCTAGTTCTGTTCTAGTTCTGTTCTAGTTCTGTTCTAGTTCTGTTCTAGTTCTGTTCTAGTTCTGTTCTAGTTCTGTTCTAGTTCTGTTCTAGTTCTGTTCTAGTTCTGTTCTAGTTCGGTTCTTGTTCTGTTCTAGTTCTGTTCTAGTTCTGTTCTAGTTCTGCTCTAGTTCTGTTCTAGTTCTGTTCTAGTTCTGTTCTAATTATGTTCCAGTTCTGTTCTAGTTCTGTTCTAGTTCTGTTCTAGTTCTGTTCTAGTTCTGTTCTAGTTCTGTTCTAGTTCTGTTCTAGTTCTGTTCTAGTTCTGTTCTAGTTCTGTTCTAGTTCAGTTCTAGTTCAGTTCTAGTTCAGTTCTAGTTCAAGTTCAGTTCTAGTTCAGTTCTAGTTCTAGTTCAGTTCTAGTTCAGTTCTAGTTCAGTTCTAGTTCAGTTCTAGTTCAGTTCTAGTTCAGTTCTAGTTCAGTTCTAGTTCAGTTCTAGTTCAGTTCTAGTTCAGTTCTAGTTCAGTTCTAGTTCAGTTCTAGTTCAGTTCTAGTTCAGTTCTAGTTCAGTTCTAGTTCAGTTCTAGTTCAGTTCTAGTTCAGTTCTAGTTCAGTTCTAGTTCAGTTCTAGTTCAGTTCTAGTTCAGTTCTAGTTCAGTTCTAGTTCAGTTCTAGTTCTAGTTCAGTTCTAGTTCAGTTCTAGTTCAGTTCTAGTTCAGTTCTAGTTCAGTTCTAGTTCAAGTTCTAGTTCTAGTTCAGTTCTAGTCAGTTCTAGTTCAGTTCTAGTTCGTTCTAGTTCAGTTCTAGTTCAGTTCTAGTTCAGTTCTAGTTCAGTTCTAGTTCAGTTCTAGTTTCAAGTCAGTTCTAGTTCAGTTCTAGTTCAGTTCTAGTGCAGTTCTAGTTTCAGTTCTAGTTCAGTTCTAGTTCAGTTCTAGTTCGTAGTTCTAGTTCAGTTCTAGTTCAGTTCTAGTTCAGTTTCTAGTTCAGTTCTAGTTCAGTTCTAGTTCAGTTCTAGTTCAGTTCTAGTTCAGTTCTAGTTCAGTCAGTTCTAGTTCAGTTCTAGTTCAGTTCTAGTTCAGTTCTAGTTCAGTTCTTTCTAGTTCAGTTCTAGTTCAGTTCTAGTTCAGTTCAGTTCTAGTTCTAGTTTCAGTTCTAGTTCAGTTCTAGTTCAGTTCTAGTTCAGTTCTAGTTCAGTTCTAGTTCAGTTCTAGTTCAGTTCTAGTTCAGTTCTAGTTTCAGTTCTAGTTCAGTTCTAGTTCAGTTCCTAGTTCAGTTCTAGTTCAGTTCTAGTTCAGTTCTAGTTCAGTTCTAGTTCAGTTCTAGTTCAGTTCTAGTTCAGTTCTAGTTCAGTTCTAGTTCAGTTCTAGTTCAGTTCTAGTTCAGTTCTAGTTCAGTTCTAGTTCAGTTCTAGTTCAGTTCTAGTTCAGTTCTAGTTCAGTTCTAGTTCAGTTCTAGTTCAGTTCTAGTTCAGTTCTAGTTCAGTTCTAGTTCAGTTCTAGTTCAGTTCCAGTTCAGTTCTAGTTCTGTTCTAGTTCAGTTCTAGTTCAGTTCTAGTTCAGTTCTAGTTCAGTTCTAGTTCAGTTCTAGTTCAGTTCTAGTTCAGTTCTAGTTTTGTTCAAGTTCTGTTCTAGTTCTGTTCTAGTTCTGTTCTAGTTCTGTTCTAGTTCTGTTCTAGTTCTGTTTTAGTTCTGTTCTAGTTCTGTTATAGTTCTGTTCTAGTTCTGTTCTAGTTCTGTTCTAGTTCTGTTCTAATACAGTTCTGGTTCAGTTCTAGCTGAGTTCTAGTTCTGTTCTAGTTCTGTTTTAGTTCTGTTTTAGTTCTGTTTTAGTTCTGTTTTAGTTCTGTTCTAATTCTGTTTTAGATCTAATCTAGTTCAGTTCTAATTCGGTTCTTTTACAGTTCTAGGTCAGTTTTAGTTCAGTTCTAGTTCAGTTCTTGTTCAGTTCTAGTTCAGCTGTAGTGCATTTCTAGTTTGGTTCTAGTTTAGTTCAAGTTCTTGTACCGTTTAAGTTCTATTTTCTAAATTTAGATTCCGGACAATAATTTCTCCTATAATACTTACTTAAATATCAGCACCCATTTCTTAGTCTCCTCATCTTCTGGTTTAGCCAAATGCTGATAATCACCACCGTTGTGCCAGGGGTAGAACGAATGGAAACGAATAATTTTGCAGGCAATGTCGGGTAATTTTGTTTTATTATGTTTCAAAACTTGATACATGTATTCATCATGACCCCAAGACATTAAAAGATTATCAACGCCACAATTAGGTTCATACATGCCATACTTTGTATTATATTGGGGATTATTACCATCTGGATTACCCTCAAAACTATCCTTACGATAGACAATACTATCACCCCAAGCACAACCTACGGGGAAAGTGTCACCCACTACACACCATTGAGGTTCATCATAGAAAGCCATAATTTTGCCTAAATCATGAATTAAGGCGGTCAAATGTAACCAATCGAGTTCGGGAAATTCTTCACGTGCCCGTTCAGCTGCTTGGAAAGCATGAACAATATTGGGTAAATCAATATCGGGATCAGATTCATCAATTAAATCGTTAAGTTTCTCTAGAGCTTCACGTACAGTGGCTTTCATGGTATTATATTGCAACCATCTCTGACGACGTCCTTGAACAAAATCCACGGTTTGATTTAAGTGCATAAGGCGGTAAGTTTGACGTACACGTTCCTTGAGAGGATCTGTTTCATCTACACTATAATCACGGAATTTCGATAAACTTTTATCGGCGAAAGTGGGTTCTGGCCGCAATAATTCCGAAGGATCAATAAAATCGATTTGGTGCTAGGATATAGTAAATATTTTTTATTAATTTTTTTTGCTATTTTCTTTTAAACTTAAAACACTTGAGCGTTTTATTTACCTCTTGTAATAAACGCATTTTAATTTAATTTTTTCTTTTAATATTTTATCTTTTTTTACTATATTTTAATTAAATTTATTTTAATTGCACCGCTGTTAAACGTTACACTTCAAATTCACTTTTGAAATAGTCACGACGGAAATGCGGCTTATTTATAGCGCAATCTTTAAATTGAAGAGCGCAAAAATCGTCACCCATCTTCGTAATTCAGTATTTGATTGCCGTTATACGAAATAAATTAATATAAAAAAACAATAACAAAACAAACATCATTGAATAACGGTTCCCTAATCATTAAAACGCAGAACCACCACGATAATTAATCAAAATATGTACTATACTAAGTACATAACAAAATACACTGAGAATATTTAAAGAGAACCATTCTTACAAAGGATCGAACCAAATTTATAGACTATATCTGTATAATTTAGAACAGAACTAGAACATAACTAGAACAGAACTAGAACAGAACTTGAACAGAACTAGAACAGAACTAGAACAGAACTAGAACAGAACTAGAACAGAACTAGAACAGAACTAGAACAGAACTAGAACAGAACTAGAACAGAACTAGAGCAGAACTAGAACAGAACTAGAACAGAACTATAACAGAACTATAACAGAACTAGAACAGAACTAGAACAGAACTTGAACAGAACTAGAACAGAATTAGAACAGAACTAGAACAGAACTAGAACAGAACTAGAACAGAACTTGAACAGAACTTGAACAGAACTAGAACAGAACCAGAACAGAACTAGAACAGAACTAGAACAGAACTAGAACAGAACTAGAACAGAACTAGAACAGAACTAGAACAGAACTAGAACAGAACTAGAACAGAACTAGAACAGAACTAGAACAGAACTAGAACAGAACTAGAACAGAACTACAACAAAACTACAACAGAACTACAACAGAACTACAACAGAAATAGAACAGAATTAGAACAGAACTAGAACAGAACTACAACAGAACTACAACAGAACTACAACAGAACTACAACAGAACTAGAACAGAACTAGAACAGAACTAGAACAGAACTAGAACAGAACTAGAACAGAACTAGAACAGAACTAGAACAGAACTAGAACAGAACTAGAACAGAACTAGAACAGAACTAGAACAGAACTAGAACAGAACTAGAACAGAACTAGAACAGAACTAGAACAGAACTAGAACAGAACTAGAACAGAACTAGAACAGAACTAGAACAGAACTAGAACAGAACTAGAACAGAACTAGAACAGAACTAGAACAGAACTAGAACAGAACTAGAACAGAACTAGAACAGAACTAGAACAGAACTAGAACAGAACTAGAACAGAACTAGAACAGAACTAGAACAGAACAGAACTAGAACAGAACTAGAACAGAACTAGAACAGAACTAAAACAGAACTAAAAAAGAACTAAAAAGAACTAAAACAGAACTAAAACAGAACTAAAACAGAACTAAAACAGAACTAGAACATAACTAGAACATAACTAGAACAGAACTAGAACAGAACTAGAACAGAACTAGAACAGAACTAAAACAGAACTAAAACAGAACTAAAACAGAACTAAAACAGAACTAAAACAGAACTAGAACAGAACTAGAACAGAACTAGAACAGAACTAGAACAGAACTAGAACAGAACTAGAACAGAACTAGAACAGAACTAGAACAGAACTAGAACAGAACTAGAACAGAACTAGAACAGAACAGAACTGAACAGAACTGAACTAGAACAGAACTAGAACAGAACTAGAACAGAACTAGAATAGAACTAGAACAGAACTAGAACAGAACTAGAACAGAACTAGAACAGAACTAGAACAGAACTAGAACAGAACTGGAACAGAACTAGAACAGAACTAGAACAGAACTAGAACAGAACTAGAACAGAACTAGAACAGAACTAGAACTAAACTAGAACAGAACTAAAACTGAACTTTAATTTTTTCCAATTTTCTTGAAACAAATTTCTTTCAGTGCATAAAAATGCCATAAATCTTTATAGGCATATTATTTTTAACAAAAACATCTAATTAAAAATATTGAAAAGTTAAACAAAAAAATTTTAATGTTAAAAAGCTTATTCATAAGTTTTCCTCTTATCAGGATCAAAATAATAATCCGATCATATATATATTTCGCATTTAAATTAATACGTCAATATTGTTCTGGTTACCTTTTGGGAAAAAATGTTGTTTATACTTTGGAAGATTTTCAAACTGATAGCCAGTGCAATGTACTTTTGCATTAAGAATTATTCAAAATAATTAAGTAAACAAATATTAGAAATAATTTCAGATTTCAGGGTCATTATTGTTTATGGGTTTCAGAGCAAATTTCGGGAGATTTGCTATTAAAAAGACGTGAATTAAAGGTACAGTTTTTGAGTGATCGTTTAATATTGTTTAAGATTAAGTTAAAGCGGAGGATTGTAATAGATCGCTGACATTTTGATCTTGTTTGAAACCAAGTCCATTTTGAAATACATTCCTTTATATTACTGCATCCTAAAGGTAAATTTTTCCGTTGCACTTTTTACTTGCATTTTTTGTTCAATTTCAAAAACAATTTGCACTGTTTTGAATTTATTTTCTTGCCACTTTTCAATTGTAAACAACACCGTAATAAATACATTTATAATGCAATAAAAAATTGTTCAACAAAAAAATTATTAAATAATAATAAATTGAATGTAATCGAAGAGTAATTTTCCAATATATGCATAACATCCTAACCACATCTTTAAATATTTGAAAATGTTTTCGAATCATTCGCAAATAAAATAAATTTCATCTTATCAACTTCATATGTCATTTGACTTCCTAACCGATTTCCCCTGCACGTGCAATTAAATATAATTATTATGTGTTGAACATGTATTTGGACTCAATTTAAAACATTTATTTAAAAATTATTAAAATAAATTTATTATGTTAATAAGTCATTGTTTTAAAGATAAGCCGAGTTTTGAGATATTGTTTGGAAGAATAAAGAAATTGAAATTGTTTAATATGACTGCGAAGACATTTTGTTGTTGTGAAGGCTTGTCGTAGACGATGAACAAATTTTGAAATCAGCAAATATTCTTGACATTGATTTTTGCAAAAAAAAAATATATATAATAAAATGTCGCATTGTTGTATAAAACGATAAGGAACAATTGTTTGAAAATGCACTGAAAGAAATAAGGGGATTATTGGATTATGTCTATCTAATGGAGCCCTCACTTTGGTATCAAACTCTAGTCAAGCAATATAATCGCAATACGAATCAGATTTTTATCGACCGAATATCAAACAGTAACGCTATAACCGGTGGTTAAAATAATTGTCCTTAGTTGTACACAAAAAAAATTAGCAATTGTAGTTTTAGTTCTAGTTCAGTTCTATTTCAGTTCTAGTTCAGTTGTAGTTCAGTTCTAGTTCAGTTGTAGTTCAGTTCTAGTTCAGTTCTAGTTCAGTTCTAGTTCAGTTCTAGTTCAGTTCTAGTTCAGTTCTAGTTCAGTTCTAGTTCAGTTCTAGTTCAGTTTTAGTTCAGTTCTAGTTCAGTTCTAGTTCAGTTCTAGTTCAGTTCTAGTTCAGTTCTAGTTCAGTTCTAGTTCAGTTCTAGTTCAGTTCTAGTTCAGTTCTAGTTCAGTTCTAGTTCAGTTCTAGTTCTAGTTCAGTTCTAGTTCAGTTCTAGTTCAGTTCTAGTTCAGTTCTAGTTCAGTTCTAGTTAGTTCAGTTCTAGTTCTAGTTCAGTTCTAGTTCAGTTCTAGTTCAGTTCTAGTTCAGTTCTAGTTCAGTTCTAGTTCAGTTCTAGTTCAGTTCTAGTTCAGTTCTAGTTCAGTTCTAGTTCAGTTCTAGTTCAGTTCTAGTTCAGTTCTAGTTCAGTTCTAGTTCAGTTCTAGTTCAGTTCTAGTTCAGTTCTAGTTCAGTTCTAGTTCAGTTCTAGTTCAGTTCTAGTTCAGTTCTAGTTCAGTTCTAGTTCAGTTCTAGTTCAGTTCTAGTTCAGTTCTAGTTCAGTTCTAGTTCAGTTCTAGTTCAGTTCTAGTTCAGTTCTAGTTCAGTTCTAGTTCAGTTCTAGTTCAGTTCTAGTTCAGTTCTAGTTCAGTTCTAGTTCAGTAGTTCAGTTCTAGTTCAGTTCTAGTTCAGTTCTAGTTCAGTTCTAGTTCAGTTCTAGTTCAGTTCTAGTTCAGTTCTAGTTCAGTTCTAGTTCAGTTCTAGTTCAGTTCTAGTTCAGTTCTAGTTCAGTTCTAGTTCAGTTCTAGTTCAGTTCTAGTTCAGTTCTAGTTCAGTTCTAGTTCAGTTCTAGTTCAGTTCTAGTTCAGTTCTAGTTCAGTTCTAGTTCAGTTCTAGTTCAGTTCTAGTTCAGTTCTAGTTCAGTTCTAGTTCAGTTCTAGTTCAGTTCTAGTTCAGTTCTAGTTCAGTTCTAGTTCAGTTCTAGTTCAGTTCTAGTTCAGTTCTAGTTCAGTTCTAGTTCAGTTCTAGTTCAGTTCTAGTTCAGTTCTAGTTCAGTTCTAGTTCAGTTCTAGTTCAGTTCTAGTTCAGTTCTAGTTCAGTTCTAGTTCAGTTCTAGTTCAGTTCTAGTTCAGTTCTAGTTCAGTTCTAGTTCAGTTCTAGTTCAGTTCTAGTTCAGTTCTAGTTCAGTTCTAGTGCAGTTCTAGTTCAGTTCTAGTTCAGTTCTAGTTCAGTTCTAGTTCAGTTCTAGTTCAGTTCTAGTTCAGTTCTAGTTCAGTTCTAGTTCAGTTCTAGTTCAGTTCTAGTTCAGTTCTAGTTCAGTTCTAGTTCAGTTCTAGTTCAGTTCTAGTTCAGTTCTAGTTCAGTTCTAGTTCAGTTCTAGTTCAGTTCTAGTTCAGTTCTAGTTCAGTTCTAGTTCAGTAAACTAACTAACTAACTAACTAACTAACTAACTAACTAACTAACTAACTAACTACTAACTAACTACTACTAACTAACTAACTACTAACTAACTAACTACTAACTAACTAACTAACTACTAACTAACTAACTAACTAACTAACTACTAACTAACTAACTAACTAACTAACTAAACTAACTAACTAACTAACTAACTAACTAACTAACTAACTAACTAACTAACTAACTAACTAACTAACTAACTAACTAACTAACTAACTAACTAACTAACTAACTAACTAACTAACTAACTAACTAACTAACTAACTAACTAACTAACTAACTAACTAACTAACTAACTAACTAACTAC